TTTACGTTTTAGTTACTTTTATAATAATAAATAAAATACTTACCTGGACCTCCTTTTTTTTTATGTAGACTGTTGATGACACTTAACCCTCCTTTTTTTATAATGGTAGTAGTGCACAAAATAATTTTTATATAATTAAGTAATGCACCAAAGTACATAGAATGATAACATGCAAAAAGCAAACAATGTCCCTTAATTATCACAATTTTTCTGGCCTTCTAACTATGAGACAAGAGTCATTACAAATTTATCCAAGCTAATCAGTGTGCTTTCTGTTGGAATGAAGCTTGTACCGTACAGAAAACAATGTAATATAATACGTCATTTCATAGATGAAAACCTTGGGTTTCTTTTGGTTAAAGATATTATAGTATTAAACATAAGAGAGAACTGTTGACAAATCCTGAAAGAGCAGATGTGACAGATGGGTGTGGCAAGAGGGGTCTGTAAACAAACAAAATTGAAGACTATGAAAATTATGCTTTATTTGAGCAATAACAATATTATAATAAGTAATTTACGTTACATTTCGTACTTCTTGGAGGGGTGATAAATATATTAGAGAAGAGGGGAAGCCTAGAGAAACAAGATGGAATCCTCAATAGCCTCGGCACTTGAAATTGTTTTAGGCAGAATTAGAGTAAATTAATCTTTGAGACCTTTTTTCCTTTTTATTAGCTATATTTTTGTGTTCCAGCAATACCAAGTGTGAGGTGTGTGAGGTGCGATTATACCCGATTCTATTTTATTACTCATCATATTTTCTACCTGCCTACCATCAAATTGAAAATCTCTTGGTGGGATTAGAGTAAATTAATCCATGATACTTTGGCCATGGGCAAATACATCAAACAAAAGAGTTTGACCTGCTGAGTCCAAAAAATATAATTAGATCTCAAGTTGGTCAAGAGTTAATGGAGCTATGAGCTAAAAGTTTGTACTTGAAAAATTCAGAGCCATTCTATGAGCTGCTTTGCTGCGGTTAAAAACGTCAAATTTCTCACACTAGAAGAAATTATGGATTTTTTTTTAATATTACCCTTAAAATTAAGAACTTAAAACTCGTATACTATTAAAATATGGATCATTAGCTGAAGTTTTATGTTATACTAATTGCTATAACGTAAACAAAAAGTAGTTTAATTAAATTTTGAATGTAACTCACTAAAAACCTCATGACATGCACAGTAAATGATACCTGTGGTGAGAGGGGTAATTACTGCTGAAAAGTCACTAGATATTTTCTTCTTAAAAAAGCCAAGAAGATCACATTGTGAAGAGAATGATGAAGTCTCAACCAAAAAAAAAAAGAAACTAGATTAATTTGAAAAACGATTTGTGGCACATTGTTCAGTTGGAATATCTTCAAGTCACTTCTTTCTCTGGTTAATTGATTGTTACACTATTGTGTGACAGCTGAGGTGTTTGGTATTTCTTGCAGTTTTACTTTGTGTACCAGGAACTATTGTTCATGAAATGCCATGTATGTTACAATTAAATATTAAGGTTTGAAGCTGGATAAAAGTGTTATTAGAATAAAAACATACCATTTACCTCATTTTCTCATTAGTGGACATCTTTAACCTTGTTGTTCTTTGTTGTAACACTCACCTTTAACCTTGTTTTATTTTTTATAATAAAACTTGTTTGTATGGTAATGTTTTATCATACATTCCATTTTATTGTTACTGTTTAAATCTGTTCCTTCTAAACTTCCAAATGAATACAAAAACTTGTTTGTATTTTTGCACTTTGTCATAACATACAATTTGTTCGTATTCTGTTGTAACACAACATTTATGAATGTTTTGCATGTTAAAAAATGAGATCAAATAATAGCAGCTTGAAGTACAGTGTTGGACATAAAATATAAGTTTCCATTTTTAGTATATTTGAAACATGTGTACACATATTCTCACTGTTTCACTCATTATAACACAAACCTTGTCTGTTATGTAACTTAAATACATCACACTGGGCCAGTAGTGTACCTGTTAACGATTGAAATACATCACACTGGGCCAGTAGTGTACCTGTTTACGATTGAAATACATCACACTGAGCTAATAGTGTAGCTGGTTACATTTGCAAGACATCACACTGTGCCACTAGTTTAGCTGTTTACATTTGCAATATGTCACACTGAGCTAATAGTGTTGCTGTTTACATTTGAAATATAACACACTGTGCCACTAGTGTAGCTGTTTACATTTACAAGATGTCACACTGAACTAATAGTGTTGCTGTTTACATTTGAAGATGTGACACTGAGCTAATAATGTAGCTGTTTACATTTATAAGATGTCACATTGAGCTAATAGTGTAGCTGTTTACATTTGCAAGATGTCACACTGAGCTAATAGTGTAACTGTTTACATTTGCCACGGAATGGATGCTTCACCCTCAAGTTTTTTTGTTGGATCTGTTCTCACCTCGGAACATTTCAGATTGATGCTTTTGCCTCACACTGTAATGCTCAGTTCCCATCCTACTGGCCTACTGTACCTCTCTGGCTTTTGGCATAGATGCTCTCAGCCAGATTTGGATGGGTCTTCATCTTTATGCATTCCCTCTGATTCATCTGTTATCCAATGTTCTTGCACTGATTCACTCCACATCATTGCAAGTTCTTCTGGTGGCACCATATTGGCTGGGTCAGCCTTGGTTTCCACTCCTCTAGTATCTTCAGGAGTGTTAACCTCTTCCCTTCCTCTCTGGCTATTTCTCTTATATCAGCCTCAGTCAGACATTTTTCATCCAGCAGTCAACATTCTTCGACTTCATGCCTGGCTTTTATGTGGTCCATTACACAATGTTAGGGATTGACTTCTTAGGTAGTGTCTTTATTAACATGGCCCATGGTTTACTTATCGTCAGTGATCTCTCAGACATGGGTTTAACCTTTCTCATCCCACTGTACTGCATGTCTCTCAATTTCTGACATGGTTATTCAACAGATGTTTAGTACCTTTGTTTAATACCATGTATAAGGCTACTTTTCATTTTTTTAAGAGAACAAAAGTGTTTGAGTCCCCAGTTTTGTCATACTTCTGAAATCTTTTCGGGTTAATCCGCCTTTGTCGTCTTTTCCAGGTTCCTAATTGGGATATCACAGTGGTTCTTCATGCCTTATCTCATCCACCCTTTGAACCTTTTGGGTCATGTTCACTATATCATCTTTTACTTATTTTCTTCTGTTATTGGCTAGTGGGTGTCATTGTTCCGATGTGTTTGCACTTCATGTTCACAAGACCATTCTACTTATGTTCTGTTGTATCCAGACAGGTCTTTACTACCTAAAACTTCAGCAGTTACAGAAGGAGATAAGGCTTTCTCTCCTAGTCGTATTCCCTCTATTTCACATATATACAACTGCTTGAATCTGGATTGTCTTTTATACCTGGTTCAGTGTTATGTGGCATGAACTGAATGATTTTGGGGCTCACATCATCGTCTGTTTATCTATTGGGATCCTACTGTGTGACATAACTGCTGTCATTTTGGAAGGTTGGATACATTACTTGGTTCATATGGCTTACTCCAGGCTTTCATTGGAGGAGCGGAGACTTCTTCGGGTCTCATCTCATCAAGATCAACATATCTCTTGATGTCCCTGGCAGCTCGGTTGCATTGTCCTCTGGAGGACATTGTTCAAGTTGGTACGTGAACCACATCTACACCTTTATATTGCACCATTTACATGATTTAGTGGTTTCTTCTTCGGATGGGGTTTTGGCTACCTCCCATGGCTCTTCCATACATCTCTGCTTGATTGTGACAGAGATGAGTAACTAAATTTCTTCTGTGTTATTCTGTTACTTTTCAGGTGTTCCATAAGATCACTTTGGCACTTTCCGGGTGGTACACAATTATTTGGGATCATACATAATATACAATATTGTACCACCACTCATGGACTATCATGAGTAAAGCATAAAGGGACTTTACCCATTCCTGTTTACACCTGGATTGAATAAATTGGGGTTGGTTTTCAAAACAGGGAACTTGGTTCACCTATTGCACCTTCTCCAGAGCATCATTCCTTCGGACTCCTCATTGCTCCCATGCTCCACTATGGAGTCCTATACCAGAATTGTATTTCCAATAATACTTCCATCTGCTCACACTATCCTGCCCTTACTCCTCACGATGGCTGGTGTTTGGGTCTGATAATTTTGCCAGCCTTGAAAAACTGAATGAGAAATAATAATGAGGAGTTTATATTCAGATCTAGCACATTGACTTGGGTATAATTCATACCAATGTTTAGATGAGCAGAGAATAGAAACTTTTGTCAGGATGAAGCTGAAGTGTGAGAAGAGATATGTATTATCAGAAATACATTTTCGGTATAGGAAAATATAAATTTAAATCTATGTGTTTAGTTTTTAGATTTAAAGAGAAATCATGGAGGGTCACAAGTTGAAATATTTATTAAACCTTGGTGTTTATCATTTAGGTTTTAAAGAGAAATCAGGGAGGGTCACAAGTTGAAATATTTATTAACCCTTGGTGTTTATCATTTAGGTTTTAAAGAGAAATCAGGGAGGGTCACAAGTTGAAATATATATTAACCCTTGGTGTTTATCATTTAGGTTTTAAAGAGTAATCAGGGAGGATCACAAGTTGAAATATTTATTAAACCTTGGTGTTTATGATTTAGGTTTTAAAGACAAATTACGAAGGGTCACGAGGTGAAATATTTATTAAACCTTGATGTTTATGATTTAGGTTTTAAAGACAAATTATGAAGGGTCACGAGGTGAAATATTTATTAAACCTTGGTGTTTATGATTTAGGTTTTAAAGACAAATTACGGAGAGTCACAGGGTGAAATATTTATTAAACCTTGGTGTTGATCCTTCAGGTTTTAAAGACAAATCATAGAGGCACTAGGTGAAATATTATTAAATTTTTGTGTTTATCATTTAGGTTTTAAAGACAAATTTTGGAGGGTCACAAGGTGAAATATTTATTAAACCTTGGTGTTTATCATTTAGGTTTTAAAGACAACACATGGAGAGCTACAAGATCAGCTTCTGCTTGTTCTAAGGTTTAAGAATTTTGTCAAAATGATCCAAGCATTTAAACAGGTCAGATAATTAAGTTGATTTTTAAAATTTGTAATGATGCATTAGTTTAATGAACTGTATTAATGATATCTTTGAGCTATGTGGTTAAACATTTAATTTAGTCTTTGAGGTAAATAGTCCATTGATGCAATTTCTAGATTTTTGAACTCTATTTTTGAATGTTTTTTCTAAATATTTTAACCTCAGATCCATGTTTGTAGAAAATAAATTGTAGTCTTTATTTAATTAATTACTGTATTTTATTGCAATTTTTTAAATGTAACCAATGTTAATAACTTTTTTTAATGTATTTAGTTACTACACATTATTCGATATTTTAACAAAACATGAAAGTAAACAATTCAGTAATAAATAAGTATATTGTTCTGAACAAACTCAGAAGACTAACAATGTATTTTATGTAAACAGAGACTAACAATGTATTTTATGTAAACAGAGACTAACAATGTATTTTATGTAAACAGAGACTAACAATGTATTTTATGTAAACAGAAGACTAACAATGTATTTATGTAAACAGAAGACTAACAATGTATTTATGTAAACAGAATAAAACAATGTATTTTATATAAACAGAAGACTGACAATGTATTTTATGTAAACAGAATAAAACAATGTATTTCATGTAAACAGAGACTAACAATGTGTTTTATGTAAACAGAAGACTAACAGTGTATTTTATGTTAACAGAAGACTAACAATGTATTTTATGTCAACAGAAGACTAACAATGTATTTTATGTGAACTTATTGTTGTGTTGTACAAAGTGAATTTTATCTTCTGAAGTATTTACTTGCTGTGCTAAACATTATAGTAAGGTTTTCACTCTTTCTTCTTATGGAACATTATTTATATTTAGGTATTTTATTCAAGAATATATACTTTCAGTAATAAATAAGTATATTAATCTATATAAACTCGTAATCATTAGCAGAAAGAGCAGCAGAAGAATGAAGTAAAAGTTTGGAGTTTGAGACCCTGAAATGATGCTCTCTCAATGACAGTAGACATAAAATGCACCTATAAACATGCCTGAATGTCAGTCATTCTGTAATGTTTCTGGCACAAAAATTGTCAAACTAGCCTGTGGCCAAATACAACGATTCTCATAATTGTAAATCTTTCTGTGAAATAATCTGCAAACCAAAACCAGTTTATGTTGAAATATTATTTTCGTGAATAAAGCCACTGTGAACTGTGACCTGCTGCATGGCTTAGGTTCAATATTGTTCTTGTGGACAAAGCCACTGTGACCTGCTGACCAGCCTAGGTTGATTATTGTTTTCATGAACAAAGCCACTGTGAACTGTGACCTACTGCACACCCTAGGTTTAATATTGTTCTCATGAACAAAACCACTGTGAACTGTGACCTACTGCATGACTTAGGTTGAATATTATTCTTGTGAACAAAGCCGCTGTGAACTGTGACCTACTGCATGTCTTAGGTTTAATATTGTTCTCATGAACAAAGCCACTGTGAACTGTGACCTACTGCATGCCCTAGGTTTAATATTATTCTTGTGAACAAAGCCACTGTGAACTGTGACCTACTGCATGTCTTAGGTTTAATATTGTTCTCATGAACAAAGCCGCTGTGAACTGTGACCTACTGCATGTCTTAGGTTTAATATTGTTCTTGTGAACAAAGCCGCTGTGAACTGTGACCTACTGCATG